CCAAAAAAACCCCAAACCCTCTAACTTCTTTCATTTTTATTTATATTGCGTGTTGCTATGTATATAATTGCACAATGGGACACCATTTCCAATTGGATTTCTAGGTGCTGTGCAATAAAAATCACAGTCTAACTGTCTTTTAAATATGCCTTGCACCCTTTGATTTGAACATTATAATTCAATAGATTAATAGCATCTATTTTCCCAGTTGGAATGGCATTATATATTTGGCTGGAAATTGAAGCAGCGAGGGAGAGACGTGCTGGATATTTGAGTATAGTAACTAGCTGTTGACTCATTCATACTGTAGTAATTCTTCACATATAACTGAATGGAGTTTTTTGAATATTTGTTTCAAACAGCCTGTGATTCTTTTGGTCAATCTGAGAGGCTCAGTGTGACTCTTCAGGGGTTTCTAAATCTGTTTCGATTCACAGATACTCTTACAAGAATCCTCGCGGGGAGGTTAAGAAGTGCAGAGTTCTTCTAGAGACACTGATGTATGCATTAGAACAATTGCACATGAGGAGATGCCAGCTGACTTGAGAATATAGTTTTCAGGTAGCGGTCTGCCCATGCCCGTTGCATTCTTAGCAGTGTTAGAGAATACTCAAGGCTCCGATTTTGGGTTTGTGTGTTTTCCTGGACTGCAGCTACTAAAGCCTTCTCATCTTCATGCCAAGACATTCTTTGGCCAGTGGGATCATTCCACTGGCTGCTTTTTTTTTTTTTTTTCCCCAAATGTGAAATTGGTGCTGATTTAAATACTTTTGTGTTACCAAAAAAAAAATCTCAGACAACATTATGTCCTGCTGGTGACTGGCTGGAGGATTCCTGGGGTGATCAGTGGGATGTAGCTGGCTGCCTTCTGTGCTGAAATTGGGATGGTACCTGAGAATTCTGCACAAAGGAAGCTAGACAGAGGCGTGTAGAATGAGCCAGTAGTCCATTTGAATTGAAGAAAAAGAACTTACTGGATGTAAATTTGACAAGAGGGGACTCTGTGTTGGCTGACCCCTGGGGAGGGATAGGGGTGTGGGGAAATGGGCCCCTGGAAGGAGGTTGCATTCTGTATGCTTGTGAGCTGCTGTCTAGTTCCTTTAAGTTTCTTTTAATTGAAAGATTTTGAACTGAAACATTTGGACTGATGCTTTGCCAGCAGTGGGAAATGATTGTCGACGTGGATCCTGAAACTTAGAACTATGGTTATTTGTCAACCTGTGAGTAAACAGGGTAGAGGTTTATACTGGGGCACGTTCTGTCTGTGTGTTTGTGTGGTTGAGTGTGTCTGTCTAGCTCTCGGTCTGTGTTTCTCACTCTCTTTTTCTCTTTGTGCCTCATGCAGGCCCTGCCATGAATTTTTTCTGACCCCTTGGGGCCATTCCCACATGAAGCTTTGATGTGTGTGCCCAGAGTTTGATTGACAAGGAAGTTTCGGTGGCGGCAGCAGGGAAACGAAGAGAAAAGGGCAGGGCTTTGAACTAAAGGGCTTTGAGCTCTGAGATGCTGTGCTTACTTATCTCCTTCAGAATGTTAATTATTTACCAAGATAATTGGTTGGGAGGGGAAAAAAAGAGAGGGGAGGTTATTAAAAAATTCCAACACTAACACGCTACAAAAACCTCATTTTCCAACTTGCAGCTGGCATGAAAAGGATGTTGTGTGTAAAAGGGCTTGAGTGTATGTGTGTTGCAGGGGGGGCCCTTTTTAAGGCACCCATTTCCTAAATAGAGGGATCCCTTCAGAGGAGCGCAGCGGAAACATCAAAGCTCCTGCAAGAGTTTTCTCTGGGGTTTCTAAACCGTGTCTGGTACTTTTTAATTAAAAAAGTTTATGGAGAGCCGTCTTTGTGACTGGAGCAGGCAACCTTAGGCCCTGTTGATTGAGGAATGAAATGTTAAAAGACCTAATAAATAATGATTTCTGCTAAAATGTCAGTTCAAGGATGTGAAGATGCCTGGCTACTTTGACAGGAGCTGAGACTTGGAGCAGACTGAGGAATGTCTCCTACTTCAGCCTCACGCGGTGCAGGCTGTACTCTGTGTGAAAGTCTCCTGCAGCCTTTGGATTAATGTACAAACATTTGTAATGCCACATCCTGATTTGAGTTTTTAGTCCAGAAGACAGGTGAAGCTGTTTCATTTTTGCCTTGGGTTAGTAGAGTTTTCTTAGTCTCTGTATTAGCCATCTGCAGGTGCCTCCGTGGAGATGGGGGCTCCGGTAGGGGCTGTGCTGGGTCAGGTCCAGGCCCGTCACCCCAGTGTCCTGACTGGGCTGGTGGTGGCAACCGAGGTCCAGGAGAACTCGTGAGCAGGCAGCCTGCCCTGCACAATTCCCAGTATGTATTAAGGATACAGAGAGGGGCAGTTACTTGCTTTTATTTGTTTATTGGATCAAATCTTGTTTTACTGCTTTGCCAGGGTAAATGCAGACCATTAATCAACGTTTTCTCTACAGTTTCTGGCTATGATGGTACTTAACCTCTTTCACACTGTGATGATTTGGTTTCTTTGCCTGTCTCTTAGTAAAAGGCCTTCTGAAATCTTAAAATAATTGTTTTTCTTTATGTAGCATTATACTGACCTGTTAACTCTGGTAATAAGGATGATATTTTTCTTTCAGAATCCTTTCTGGTACAGCTGGTTACACCATATCATATTAATCTTCTGCACATCCCTTAAAAATACAAGCCTGTGCTTGCAGCAGTGCCTGTTTTTAGTGCGAAGTTTAATTTTAAATGTCTTACTCTGCAGTCCCTTGAGAACACTTGAATGTTCCATATGGACAGGGTGATGTGGTGCTTTTTAATGTATCGCTTGGTTCCAGCACCAGTTTTTCTACCGCTTCAGTTTCTTTGAGGGTGTGGTGTCGTACTGTAATCACTGTGAGGGGCAGAGCTCATAGGTGGGTACCCCCCCCTTACCCGCAGTTGGTTTTGTGATTTCTCAGTCGAACCAGCAGGACTGTGAGTCCAGTTCGACAGTTTCTCTGGTGCCCAGCGAAGGACCGAAAGATAATTAAGGGGCTGATGCATCAGACATACGGGGAGAGGCAGAGAGCGCTTGGGTGGTTAAACCTTTGGAAGAGAAGGTTCTGGGGGGAGTCTTGTCAATGTGATAATAACCGTGATGGGAAGCAGCAAGGAAGATGGGCCAGGCTTTTCTCAGTGGTACCCAATAAAAGGACAAGAGGAAATGGACACAAATTACAGGAACTTCCATTGAAATAAAAGGAAAAAAATTAAAAATAATTTCTTGTAAATAATTGAATTGATGAATAAAGATTTGAAAATAATTTTTCTTTTATGTTTAAAATTATTTGTTCAGTAGGTCATCATTTGAGCTGCTGACTAATTACTTCCCAACAGCATAATGCCATTTAATGTGTTAGCATGTTGACATAATTCATATTTTGTATTGAGTTTTATTCAGTATATATTTATGCAGAGGTAGCTGAATAAAGGCATTTAGTCACGTCGTAAGAGACTGAGTATAACGCAGTGAAAGGAGAAGATAGTGAGAATGACCATTGCCAACCTAAGTTGTCAGAAGCTTCATCATTTTGATTTGTTGCTATTTAAAATTAGGGAAAAAACAAGTGAAGAGCGACAAGCGCTCTCTGGCGCGTTACATCTGAGGAGCTTGAGAGACACCGGCGGCCATCTCGGTCTTCCCGTGTGATGGGGGTACACCTAAAATGGGGGAAACTGCTGTATAAAGCAGTGTGGTAAATTTACAAAGAGGAGCCAGGCCTGCTGACTAGAATTGTAGACATTTTACTTTTCTTTCTCCTTCCTCTACAGAGAGTGTCTCTCCTCTGTGGAGGGGTAGATGGTGGTAGAGCGGCAAAAGCTGCCTCAGACTTGATCGCACTTCGGGGTCGCAGGAGGAAGAGTTTGTTCTCTTGGATTTCGAGCTCTGTGATATGTGTTCCGTGTGTGCTTAGACAGGGGTCTCTGCTTGTTGCGGCGCCCTGAAGAGGCAGGTGAAATGTCGGGGCTGAAGGTGAGGTGGTGCCTCCCCTCCACCGCTGGCGCTGCGGCAGGGGCCCTCGGTGCGGGGCAGCTGCGGGCAGCTGGCAGCCTCCCTGCCTCTACGGGCTTTGACTTCACTTGGTGCTTCCTGACCCGCACGCGGGGGTTTAGGGTGTGCCACACGGTGTGTTAAAGCACACACTAAATGAACTATGGTTTGGCTGAGTGACATCTCAAATGATGGAGAGGAATTGTTGAAAAACATAGATGGCTTATGCTGGTGTTTTGCTGGAATTAGTTCTGGCCACACCCTGTTTGTTATTTTTACCTGGTTTGAGGGAGATATATAAATACAAAATAATAAATAATAACATTTGCAGATGAAATAAAGATCACCAGACTGATAAATGCAGACATGAAGAAGACAGTCCTGCACTTATCTAGGTCACATAATGAGCTAAATGGATGAAAGAATGTTTGAATATGGTAATCATTTTGACAAGTAGGAACTAGGAATTCAGGCTGCATTTTTGAAAAGATAGAGTGCATCCTGGAGAGCTGTTAACTAGACAAATTCCGACTAGAGGCAGGGTGTAAATGTAACAGAATAGTCTAGAATAGGTTTCTGAGGGCAGACCTGGATTTTCCTTCTGTTACTGTCAGCCACTCAGGTCTTGGAAGATTCTTAATCATGCTCATGTGCCTGCTCAGCAATGGAGGACGTGGGTGAAATCTAATGGCCTGAGGTACAGGGGCAGGAGAACAGACGACAGGTCATCAGCACAGTGAGTGTTTGCTGTACAGGTCTCCTCATCTGTGTGTAGCAGAATAGCTCACACAATTTTGCTTCATGCCTTGCTTCTGGGTGCCCTCTGCCATTTGGCCTTTCCTGAGTTACAGATGGTTTGGTGACCTCAGCCTGAACTCTGTGAATTTGTCTGTAGCTGTCTAAACTGTCTCTAATGCTCACAGTGAACTGTGAAAGCATCCACAATCAGTGATCTCTTCTTTTTCCCTTTTGCTGCAGGCTAAACTCTTTCCAACTGCTGTCATTCATTTTGGGTCCGAGGAGTACAGGGGTGAGTGACTTTCCAGCTGACTGTATAGCTCCTATAGTAGACTCAGAAGAATTGCATCCTCACATTCAGAGTCCCTCTGACAAAGATAATGCAGTCCTTGAGAATGCTGGTAAATGTTCCCATTCCGGGCGGCTCAGGCTCCTTAGGGCCAGCTTGGTCAGTCAGCTTGAGCACAAGGGGAAGCCTCGGACCTTCCTTAGGAGGTTTGTTAGGCTGTGGAGTAGGCATGGGCTGCTGCGTGGACAAGGATGATAGAACCACTCTGCAGAAGGACATTCCCTTGTTCACAATGTTAACTAGAGAAATGACTGAAACACTTCTACGGGCCTCCTGTTGTGCTGGACTGGCTGGAGATGGGAAAACATGAATCTGATTCTTTGACACTTCTGGTTTATGCTTAGAATCTCTCTTTCTCCCAGAGAGATTAAAGCACGCTCTGGCTTCATAGAAAAGTTTGAGATGCAGTGAGCACTGAAAGAAAACGTCACGATCCTGAGGTTTGAATGATGAAATAGGGCACCTTGAGTCATGAGAAAAACTGTCATAGTTTAAAAGTGTCCTGTGTCAGCTGGGGGAAGGTGATGGAGATTTACTACGTTACAGAGCAGGTGTTTGCTGAGCCAGGAGCTGTATGATTGTGTGGTGATCGATGTCTCTCTATTACCAAACAAGTGTCTGGGTTTCATTTTTAAACAGATTGTTACCTGAGATCAGACCTGCTGAGCTCTGCAGTCTCCCCTTCTGCAGCTGATTTATTAGTAGCCAGGTAAGTTGGGACTGAATAGTTGCAAATAGGTATTTCAGGGATGGGAAGCATGAAATGAGCCTGTCTTTTACTGCAAAGACATGTGCTCTGAGGGTACTAGGGCTTAATTTTCTCCTGAAACGGTCTACTGCCATACATGACTTCATAGCCTCGAGTCCTTTGCGAAGTAGGTTTTCTGTGACTAAATCAAGGAAATCCTATGGTTTTTATCATGAAAAAGAGCCTTTTCAGTCTGACTTTAAAAGTTGAAAGGTGGTGGTGCAAGGGGCTGTTGCGAAAAAATGAAGTTTAATTCTGTTTGCTTGTTTTTTTCCCCAGATGTTTGTCCAAATCGTTAGTTCCTTCTGCTTCGTCATCTTTAGAATCAACAGCTCTGTCCCTGTCTGAACCAGAAGTGGGTGGTGACAGAAAGTCTGACAAGCAGCCAGAGCCAGCAAGAGTGCAGGAAGCTCCACAGGTGTTGAGAAGGACCCCTGGGAAAATACCCAAATGGCTGAAGCTGCCAGGTATTGTGAGATCAGAGGAGAGCTCTTCTCATCCTGAACTCCCTGAAGAGGCAGGCTCCTTCGAGCCAGACATGGTGGACGTTGACAGTGTTCTTGCAGATGTCAGCATAAGGCTTGCAGGACATTCAGTGCTGTCCCTCACAGCTCAGTTTGAAGCTCACTCTTCACTGGAGAAGTACCAGAATGCAGGCTCAGGCCCTGTCGATCTGACGACTAATCCACAGCTTTGCAGCATTCTGAGTGATCTTCTGGTCTTAAGATGTTGAGTCCCTTAACCACGCTGGTGTAGTTCATGCTAATAGGCAGGATACCCACCTGCCAGGGGCCCATGTCAGCTGTTAAATCTCTGTCATCATTTTCCCTTTGCTGGTATAGTCTGTTTCAGTACTTTCTCTTGATTTTTTTTTTTGAGTTGATCTTTCTGTTTTTAATCTTCACTGCAAAACAGTACTGGTTTTCCATAATTAAGGTTATAATCAGGTTTCTGTTAGGAATTTTTTTCTTGGTTTATCCTGATTAGAAAACTTTTTTTTATTCCCAGAACCAATAGCTAATGTGTGGTTTTATATGAGAATTTATACAAAATATGAAGTAACTGGAGGAAGGATTCCTGAATTAAACAATTAGCAGTATTTACTTTTTGATGCAGTGGCAAAGAAAAGAGGAGGGGGGGAAAAAAAAAGATGTTCAATTGACCCCTTAACAGCAATAAAACTAGGAAGAATTCTATGGAATTCCCTGGCTAACGATGCCAAATGTTAACTTCCTGGAGGAGAATTCTGGTATTTAACTTTGGAGGATGGTGTGGGCCAGCAGCTCCAGCAAGTGTGGTGTAAGGTGTGAAGTGGCGGCTGGAAGGCTGCAAACAGAGGGTGGGTGTTTCCCTGCTGTGGCTGGTCTGGTTTAGTCTGGTACTGGGATACTGGTGCAGATCATGTGAGAAACAGTATCTCTACTTCTGCCCTTTCCAGTGTGCTGGAAGCATTCCACTTGGGAGTAGAACTTCCTTTCCTAAGGAAAGATTATCTAGATAAAGCACAAGATAACATCCTGCCTGCCTGTGCAGGTGGCCCATTAACAGCTGGGGTGGAAGGTTGATAACACGCTCTAACATGCATGTTAATAACATGTAGGCTGAAGTTCCCCACTCGGAAGGGTACGGAGTACTCCTGTGTGCTGCCCAGCTGCTGCCCGAGCACAGAGCACGTAGAGCCCTCAGCACCCAGATCGTGTGATTGAGAACTGACATGGCGCAAATCGTGGGGTTGTTCTAATGCTCTTCTGTTTGTTTTGTAGGTGGGAAGAGATGAAACGTTCTGGGCTGCTGGATCAGTGAGCAGTCAGCTGTGCCCCTTTCCTGATGAACTTATTCAAAACGTGTAAGAAGTTGGTGGTGGCCCTGGAGAGACCTAAGCTGTATGGACATTAGTTATAAATAGAAAATTGCTATTTCAGATGCAAGTTTCAGCTTCTGGAGGAGTGGAAGGCCTGTTTGTGGTCTTCGTGACTGCAGAAGCAAGGTTAGAGGTTAAATTTAAGGTTTCTTGCATGCAAATATGAATAGAGAATTAAGGGGGAAATAATTCCTATATACTTTCTGTGAAGGACTTTCTTTCTATCCATATTTTTAAAATCAAATCTTCCCAGTTCTCCCTCAGAGACAATGTGAGTCTAGCTGCCGGAATTCTAGTGACAAGATACAATCCCACTGTCAAGTGCTGCCTCTGCTTCCTGCTGGCTGGCGTGCTGATAACTCTGGGCATAGATAGCTGGAAAGTGAGTGAAGAAGAAGCACTTAAGTCGCTTAAAATAGTTCAAATAGGCTTTTCCTGGGAACCTCCTGGTCTGCAGCACTTGTATTCTTTTCAGTTGCCAGAATCTTATTAACAAAGAACACAGGTATCTCTTAATGGAGTGCACGTGGAGTTTTTCTGCCCCAAGCTCTGTGTTTTATTTTCACTACATACAGTTAATGTCGGTAATTACAGTTACAGTGAGGAAGAAACCCACCAGTAACAGGGTCTGTTCATGTGACCTTTGATCTGTGGACTTCTGTGGCCCAAAAGTGTCCAGAGCAGCTGCTCTCTGCAGTGCAGTTAGTGCACAGAGGGGAGCACCAGCCCACATCTGTGTCTCCTGCAGGTGTTGTGCAAGGACGAAAGTTGCTGGTTAGAACTGTGCTTACACTGGAGATGAACTCTGTAGTGCCACAGCAGCCATGGGGCTGTATTTTATTGGGAGTCTCCACGGCTCAGTGGTTCATACTGGGGTTCCATGTTACGGTAATACCATGGTTTCCATTTTCCCTGCATAGACAGTTGTTCCCTGAACTACGTGTGCATCTGCACAATTTGTAGCTGTAATAAAGCAGAGTGGCCATAGGAGGCCTTTTTGTCGGTCTCTTTGATAATTCGTTTCTTCCCCCTGTACTCAGTTTCTCTGTCAGTTCACAGGAACCTGCTCCCTTTTCAATGGGCCTGTCATGCCTCATTCCCTTCCTCCCATTTTTTTTTAACAAAGCAAAACAGAGCTTTGTACCATCTGAATGAACTTCAAAGTGGCTAGAAAGGGCACCCAGGGTTCCTGGCACTTGTCATTGTCTCCCAGCCTGGCCAACATTTTCCTTCAGGTCTAATTACTTCCAAATGCTCCCAGATGCTTTGAAGAAACTCAGAGGGAGGGGGAGGCATGAAAGAAAGGTGGAAGAGGAAAAAGGAGACTCAAAGTGGAGGGAGCTGAATGCTTTAGCAAACATGTTGATTGATTTCTTCTATGACACCCAAACATAAACAGGGACTGTGTGCGGCCACTGGCAGCGGGGATGCAAGAGCACTATGTACAGCTGTTGCTCTTAATCCTTCCTGGGGAAAGCAAGCCCTCCTGGCACTTGACAGGCTATAAACGACATACTACAGCAAAACAAAATATACTAAAATAATATTTAAAGTTTATTACTTCAGTGGATTGAGCGTGGGCTGCATGGGACTGTCTGTATCTTGGTTTGGGTGCTGTCAGGTTTGCTCATTTCACAGTGGTTGGAGGCAGACTGGAGCCAGGGCTGCTTGGCTGGATTTATGCAGAATGTATCGAGAGGCAACTAACAGCCATAGCTAACGGTAGGTGATGATGTGCTTTTTGATTCACAGGGTTAGTATTAACAGCAGCAGTCTGGCTGGTAGAAGTTCTGTGCTTTCAGATGTGCCTGTCTTACTGGTTATAGAACAGAGGCAACATCAGGTGGTGCTGGTTTGCTCAGCTGGTTTGATTCCACCAGTTTTGACAAAGGGCTAACACCATAACTACCACCTGCAAGTACCTGATATGGGAAAACAGGAGAAGTTTAGGGACATGAGCAGCAATGTCACTTACTGGGGCAGTTTCATGGGTTAAGTACGGGGGTGAGGATTCGGAGACTTCCTGGAGCTGGATGTGCATTACCTCAGCTCTGCCCACGCCTGTCCCCTGGGTAACTCAGCTCTGCACCAAACCCAATGTAATCTACTTTCAGGAGAGGGGAAGATTGGTACTTTCTACAGCTAGAACACAGGCCTTATTTCTCTTTCCCTATGCAAAGAGTTAGTTTTAGGTGCTGCTGCTATTAAAATACTGCTTTACTACTGACATTCATGTCAGCAATCCTCTTCAGTCGAGAATGCTTGTGTACGGATCGGGGATGTTGGGATGTGAACTCAAACCTTCTGGGGTGGCAGCTCAGACCTGTGTGTCAGCGGGTCAGCATGGGGGAGAGATGAGGATTTGAAATCCAGAAAAGGCAAGAAAGGAGGAGTGAATTCTCTGAGGGACAAAATGCCCTGGTATTTAGAACTGCAGGCTCTTCACTCGGGTAGTGGCTCCAGGGATTCACACCCTGCCACAGAACAAAACCCGCAGATACCCAAGGAGCTGGGTTTGTTTCAGCATCACTTCTGCTGTAGTAGCTGAACTCATTGCTGGGGGTTTGGGGCATTCAGAGGTAGTATTGCATATTTTTTCTCTTGCCCTTTTTTACCATATGGTTGTGGGGCTGAAGGCTGAAGTAGGTCAGTTCCTCCCCTGGTTTCGTTGTACAGCTGCACAAACAGTTGTCTTGGCAAAGAGGCCGCAGTGCCGAGGGACGGGGCGCTGCTTAAACTAGTACTGTTATCAGAGAGAATGTGCATTAAACTGTGGTTTTAGCTGAAGTTTCCAAGTGGCTGGCGTGGTGACCTTGATAACTTCTGGCTGAAGGAGGACAGTGACCTACTGAGCCTCCTACAGCTGTCAGGGCAGGAGAGCAGCTCGCTGTCGCTCCTCGGGCGGCTGCAGCTCGGCAGCGAGAGCGTGCGAGCGCCGAGACACGCTGGTGTCAGCTGCTCCCTGCGCAGCCGGCTCTGCCCTTCCCAACAAAGCCGGTTCAGTTGTGTGGGTCCTGCCTACATGTGTAGGGTTTCTTATTTCACAGCTCCCCCCCGCCCCCCTGCCGGCCGAGGGGCCAGGCTGTCCCATGATGTGGGATTTTCACACATGCTGTTTGTTATTCTGTCCTTTTTCCTTTCGTCCTACAAAGATTTAGAGAAGAGGGTGGGTGAGGGGGAAACTTTGCAAGTCTTTGAAGCAACTTGACTTTCGATGATTAATTGCAGCAAAGAGCCTGCACAAGGGAGGGAGACTCGGTTTTAATTTATTGATGTTTCTTTGTGAGAACAAATTTATAGCAGAGGGGAAGCAGTTTCTGAGAATATCAAATGGTTAAAAGGTTCCAAGCATTCTTTGATGTCACAGCCCTGGAGAAATACTGGAAGGTAGTGAGGGACAGGCACTGTTTATTTATAAAATAAAGATCAGTTACCTGATTTTGGCAAGAGCCTGTGACTGAGCTCCTGTTAAGAACCTATTCATTAGGAGCCGGACCTAAAGTTTCTGCCACAGGCAATGAGAGCCTGAAGTTTGGACACTTCCAGCCATTGAGTCTTTCCACACATCTGTGTGAGGCAGCACCTGTATCTCACATCAGCCGAGACAGCAGCAGCACCTTCCCTGTTGCTGTTAGAGGAGGAAGGTGCAGGATGGAAACCAGTTACTGACGCCGGCGCAAACACACCTGGGGCAGCCTCTTCAGAAAGAGCATCTGCCTGTGTAGCTGCCTGGGACTGTGCCCTGCGTGTAAAGGAGAGAGGAGGCAGAAGGAAAATGACAGATAAATAAAGTGGTGAGACTGTTCTAGAGCTGGGCTGCAAGGAACAGCTGGACGCTGGGTCTGGTCGGGATCTTCTGTCAGGCCTCTAGAAATCGAGGAGCTGTAAGGAGAGAGCGGCCCGTCAGCACCGCGGGGCCCGCAGGGGCTCCCGGGGGGGAGGAGGAGGAGGGCGGGCAGCCCCCAGCTCAGCCCTTACGCACCAGCTGCGGCAGCACCTTCTCCACCTGCTCCACGGCCACCGTCTGCCGGTCCTCGCCCTGCGCCTGTCGCGCCGCCCGCGCCGCCGCCTCTGCGCGGGGAGGGGGGTCAGGGGGGACCGG